CGGAAGGAATATCAACACGAATTTCGAAATGTATCAAACAGTCAGTTAAATTTCGTAGAAGAAATTGTTACGCACTTCGGCGTGCAGGGGCGGTTCCATGGCACGGCATCTCAATTCCGCTGAAACGCAAGTTCTCTCGTCGGAAGCCAACACCAGGTCACCGCTGCACGTACAGTAGTAACTTCCGGCTGTGTTAACGCATTCGCCGTTGCAGCCGCCGTTACGGTTCAAGCACTCGTTTATATCTTGGCACTGGCTTCTATTCCTGGAAACAAAAGCCAGAAATTCGTCTGGAGAAATCTCGGCGACGCGAACGTCTCGATAAAGCGCGATTGAATTTTTATTAGGTACACGTGGAATTTAAAATAATCCCTGTTTTCAAAGGCGAGTTTTCAATTTTTTGCAAAGCACCTCGAATAAATGATCTTCATAGAAATGACAGTTTTCATACTTGGTTATATTCTTCATTATATTCTTCGATAATCTGTATTTTTAAAATGTAAAGTATAATAATTAAATGTTAAGTACAATAACGTAAAGTAAAATGTATTCAAATCTTTGTTTCATATAAAGATGATTTTCTGAGGGACATTTGAAAGAAAATGGAATTTTATACAATATCGCAATAGATTTTACTTGATACGGAGACAATTATTACAAGAAAGATTTGAACGGAAACACTCGAGTATTATGAAAAATATTTTTATTACAATCGACGTTAACGTTGACAATTAAAAGTGAAAAACGATTCAAATTATTTTTGAAATTGCGCAAACTAGGAATATTTCTGTGTGACAGTCAGTTGTAGACGGATAAATTTAATTAGTTTTCTCACCTGAAATCCGATATATAACCAGGACGACAAGCACATACGTATGAGCCGACTGTATTAATGCAATCTTGCTCACATCTGCCGTTGTTCCACTCGCATTCATTTATATCTAATTAGAGAAATAAGAAGATTAGCACAGTCGATATACGCGGATCTCTGATTTTTCACGATTGAATCTAAACAATTTTGTTTAAATAATTCCAAACATTTTACGTAATTCATAAACTCTATTTCTTTTTTTTGATAAATGTTATAATCAAAGATTTCAATTTCATAAAGTTTTAAAAAGATAACAATCTGTTTAAATTATAAAAATATAAATATTGTTTTATTCTTCTATTTTCACTATTTCAATACATCATTTAAATGACTTTGATAAATAATTTTCGGTGATATTATTATGATACCGAAAAATAATAAAAATAATTTGTTTGGTCTTTTCTCCTTGCTTTCGCTTTATAAAAAAGAGAGAGAGAGAGAGGAGCAAAAATATATTGACTTCGACCTCGAACTTCTGAACTTCACAAAAACGAAAGAATCAAAGATACTTTGCAATAAAAAGGTCATTGAAAATCGATAAAAATAATAATGAAAAAAGAAGAAGAAAAGGAAAATAAATTAAGCCCCAATGTTCCACTGAAAATTGCCCGAACGCAATTTACAAACGAGAGAAAACGCGAGAGAGAAAAAAGAAGAAATTTATCTCGAGACAAAAAATATTGCACCACCGTTCCACCGACAGTTCCCCCAAACGCACGGGCGTTCAATTATTCCGAAAACTAGCAGCCGCGAGTTACTCTTTGTCTTCCTAATCAAACTTCAACATCATTCGAAATTCCCTCCGACGTTCGTCGAATTTCTGGAACGACCCTTTAACCGGGTTCCGAGAGCCCAAGTATTCCCTGTTTGGCCATTAACGTGCGATTAATCGTCGTGGATCCTTTCCCTCTCACCAGAATTACGAATCAGTCGAGTGTGCACATGTCCGACGACGACATTGAAACCTACCTCTGAACATTGGGCCTTAATTTATCTTCCTTTTCTTCTTCTTTTTTTTTTATTATTATTTTTATCGATTTTCAATGACCTTTTTATTGCAGAGTATTCTTAATTCGTGATCATTTTTGTGAAGTTTAGGAGAAGTTGAGGAAATTTTTGCTTGAATATATTTTTGCTCCTCTCTCTCTCTCTTTTTTATAAAGCGAAAGTAAGAAGAAAAGACCAAACAAATTATTTTCATTATTTC